ACATAAATAAATACATATATATATATATACGTATATATGCATGTATGCATGTATGTAAGTATGTATGTATGTATGTATGTATGTATGTATGTACGTACGTAGGTATGTATGTATGTATGTATGTATGTATGTCTACGTATGAACGCATACGTGTACATTATCTATACAATAGGTAAACATATGATCAAGAACATGGCGCTGTCCGGAAGAATTGCGTCAGTCACATAAGTGTAGACAGGCGAAGTGTTGAATTTTTTCAATTCAGTCTGCGAAGGGGGGGCCGGGCTGCCGGGCGCCCCCCGCTTTTTGAAGCCGCGCCATCTCGCTACAAAGAAGAGCTTCTAGCTATAGTTTGCTTGAAAGCAAGGAAAACAACAATACAGGGAAAAAACAAAGCATACCTAAATTAACTCTGGAACCGGAAAAAAGGGGAAACACAGGAAGAAAAATAGAACCAACAACTGCACGTCGCCGTGATGCCAACTTCCATTTCTGTTCTAATTTATTTCTATGTTTTCCTACCTTATCCTGCCAGGACAGTATTTGCCTGATATAGGAAGTCTATGAAAAATGGAAATACACTAGAGAGAACATGGAAATCAACTAGGAAAACATAAGCAAAGTAAGGGAAACATAGAGACCGAAATAGAGCGAACAGGCTTTGAGCACCGGTTCCGTTCTTGTGCCATTTTCCTTCTTTTTTTTGCTTACTTTGCATTCTATTTTCAATTACATCTTCCAGGGTTGTATAGGGATTCAGCCTCACGAAGCATGGTCAGCGAACAGAGGTCCAATGCGCCGAGCCCAGGTGCGATGAGGGTTCCTGGCCAAGCAGCCCCCAAGATTGGGAAGCCGTAGCAAGCTCCGCATCAGGTGCGGTGGTGTTGGAATCGGCATGGCCCTAGACTCCCTAGATCTCCAAATGCTCGCTGTCTCTGTCTTGGAGTCTTGGAGGGCTTCTTTGCCTGGCATCAGCTCCGGGCGGCTGGCTGCACAACCCGTCCATCTGCACAGAAGGAGGTCCAGCACCTGGCGATACTGGGCGGCATCGACAGATTTCAAGGGTCGCACTGCACGAAACTGGGCCTGCATGCCGCAGTTTTTCACCCCTGAACCCAGGTGTGCTTCTGGGACGGTGGCAACTCAGAGATTTCAAGCAGATCAGTAGATCCGTGTTTGCGGTTTCGACCAGCTTGAATGAGATTGACCTCCTGGCAAGGTTGAGGATTCAAGGCTGTATATCGGGAGGGGCCAGCTGTGGTCACTTTCCAAGAGTCGTGGATTCTGTGGACATGTCATTAGGGATGGTTTGGGCGGGAATCTCTTGCTAGGGGTGGTGATGCAATGGAGAACTGAATGCAAAGTCCTATTTAAGGGGGCGGCCCACGCTGTCGTGGTGGGATGGGGCAGTTCCCCTCCACGGTGGCGCGGCGAATCTGTCCCTGCCGCCGCAAGGAGGCGTGGCAGGGAGTTGCTCCTAGCTTGCTGGCCATGTTAGTTCAGGGTGTGTGCTTGCCAGGTCAAGGACGACAGTGCCGCTGCAGTCATGTCCTTGCTGAATGCTGCTGCCGGAATCCGAGGCTCCAAGGTCTGGGTGTGTGCGGAGCGGAAGCAGATGCTTGACCTAGTTGTGATCCTTGCCGAGGTCTTGACCTCCGCATCCAAAGTGGGCGTCAAGGAGCCGCTCAAGATGCCGGCAGAGTGGCTTGGACGGCTGTCGCACGAAGTAGTTATCAGCATCACGTTCATTTATGCTGCTGCGCTTGTGTTGCTCCGTTTGTCCGCATGCAGCCAGGGTGCGGAGCCTTTGCCTGAGCTGGAATGGGGGCTGCAAGGCTGGTGCAGACTCTCCGCGCCCTCTCTCCTCTCCCCTCCCCCTTCCCCTCGCTCCCCCGTCCCCGTCACCCTCCCTCTCTCCCTCCCCTTCTCTCTTTCGTTCGCTTGCCTTCCTTCTGTCTCCCGATCACACACAGACACACAAACACACACGCACACACTCTCGCTCTCTGTCACTGTGTCTATAGTCTATATCATCAGACAGCAAGTTGAAACCGGACGGCCAGGCTACGCCCCGGTGGATCGATTTTCTTTGGGCATCCCGCACCTTGCATCAAGTCATTTCTATCTTCGCTCGATGGCACCTGCTGATTGCTCTTGGCCAAGGACACCGAGCCCGACAGCGCGGGACGGTTGTTGCCAAAGTGCAACTCAGACGATGAGAGTCGCTTCTAACAAAGTCCCTGTTTCAGACATGCTGTGCTGCCATGTGTTAGTGGTTGCTGCCGACACTTGCATCTTCTTGCACTGTATGGCATCCTGCAGCTCTTCATGGAAAGCTGAGTGTCCATCGCACGGGGACGGTTGCAGGCCATTTCTTGAGACTTTCGGGGATCGCATGTTCGTGCCGAGCGGCCCCGTCCTCAGCATTTTTCGAAGCTGTGAGGAAAGCTTGGGCTGTTTCGTTTGGTGAGGCAGTGTCCCACTTCACGCGCAAGAGCCTGCTGCGTGAACCTTGGCACAGAACCACAGTGGCGTGTATCCCTGGTTGCTTACCACCCTGTTATGCAGCCAGAATATGCCGAGGGTCAAGTTAGAAAGCGGATTGGTTCCTGATGCGAACGCACAAACGCAGCTGACACACTGAAAACAGCATCGCGCAACCATATATAACCCTGCCACTGGAGCTGCAGGTTTCCCTGAGGCGACGCCCAGGCAACTGCCCCAGTACTCAGTTTCATTGGCTACGTGAGCCTGCGCATTGCCTCCATGGAGGTTCATTGGAAATTCCAGTGCATAGTGAGACAGCTCTGGATGAGGCCTGGGAAAGCCGACTGAGCTGATGCACCTCACAGTGCCTATATGTGCCTATGAATTGACCAGGGCATGACCGGCGAAGAGCACCAGGTGCTGCTGACAGAGCGGGCTTCGGCTGTGCGAGTTGGAAACCTCGAGATATATCATGGGGGCTGTCGCTAGAATGCTAGAACATGCTTTGTGGAACTGCCACTCTCAGCTTCTGGGTTGGCCTTGCTGGAGTCCTCCCAGATTGACGCGGACGAGCTGCTGTACCAGGCTGCCGATGCGTGGGCGACCTGGACGGGGTCTGGGGCTGTGATGAAATGGTGAGAAGGTCCACTGTAGCAGGGGTGCGGCAAAGCTTAGATGGATATATGAGTTCGACCAGTGAGATTGCAGGCACGTCAAACGAAGGTTCGGCAGTTCAGAAGTTGACATGCCTTTTCAGCAGACTTTGCACTGGCACAAAGTGCCGAATGCACAAGACCGGTAGTTACGTTGACTCAGCTGCTGGCCGCAGAGGTGGAGCTCCCACGCTTCGACATCCACGGCACGTCTTTCCAAGCCACGGCGAGAGGCTTGTTCTGTCAGGTAGAACTGTACGTGGATTTCACTTCCGTTACACGGGCCGATGCGAGACTATTTATTTACCCGGATGCTGAAAGCCGGCTGCTGACAAATCGCAGGGCGGGCCCGGACCATTGACGTTGCTTTCTGCTTGGTGGTCCGTCGACACCGTCATGGCAGATGTCTCGGCTGTCGGTTCTGCGGTGCACGAGTACACGCAGTTGCATTCTCAGCGAGCTGCTGCATGTGTCAGACGCAAGCCACGTGAACTGAAGGTTCGGGGCCCTCGCGGGCTCTGGGGTTGTGCAGCGCTGCTCGCCTCAGAGACTCTCGGCCGCATCCCGCTGTGATTCCTGAACATGTGCTGCGAGAGTCAGCATATCGTGGTCGGCAAACTCAACACGGAGAGAAGTCATGTCTGTGTAGTCGTCGTCGTACATAGCCTCTGTACTCCGCACAGCTGCAACAGCAGTAATGAAGACCAGCAATGACAGCCGAACTCACAGACCACTACGACTACAATGGTGGTGACGAGGACGAGAACGACGCCGACCTTACTACGGCTGCTAGACCTGCTGCTGCTGTTGCTCTTGCTCCTACCACACCGACAACAGCGACGATGGCTACCACTGCCACTGCTTCTGCTGCTGCTTCTGCTACTGCTGCTCATCTGCTGCTACTTCTACGGCTACAACAACAACTACTTCTGGGTGACACCACCACCACCACCAACAACAGCAACGACACCAGCAACACGAACAACAACAGCAGCAACAACTTCAACTACGACGACGACGACGACGAAAACGACGACGACTACTACTGCTACTTCTACTACTACTACTACGACGACGACCACCACTCCACCACTACTACTACTACTACTACTACTACTACTACTCCTGCTGCTGCTCCTTCTCCGAGGCCCACTCCTTCTACTCGTACTCCTGCTCCTGCCCCTGCTGCTGCGGCTGCTGCTGCTGCTGCTGCTGCTGCTAATTCTACCAGTGCTACTATGCACAGACATGGGTCGGTCATCCAAAGTCGCTTCAAACTTGTGGTGACAAGAAGTGCAAAGCAGCAGCAGGAGGAGGAGGAGTAGTAGTAGTCGTCGTGGTGGTGGTGGTGATGGTGGTGGTGGTAGCAGTAGTAGTGGTGGTAGTAGTAGAAGTAGTAGCAGTAGTAGTAGTAGTAGTAGTAGTAGTAGTAGTGGTAGTAGTAGTAGTAGTAGTAGTAGAGGAGGAGGAGGAGAAGGAGTAGCAGCAGTAGGAGGGGCTTATAAGTGGAGCT